GTCCCTAGAGAAGGAAAAGATACAAAGTTATTATTTAAATCATATCTCTATTAATTTCTATTATTGATTTGCCTATTAAGTGAGTAAAGGGAAACAGGCTTCGTTAATATATTTCTTAAAGAGTAAATAAGACCTTTGGTCTAAAGTCACCTTCCCCCATCAGACTCTAAGGGCCCTGTCTGACTTAACACTATTTCTGCTAACAATGGGCTGATGACCCTTATCAATAGCCAGAGGATCTGAGTCGCCAGGGCAATTACCAGAATTTGAGGGAGAGGGCCTTTTTTTCCAAAAAAAATAGAGAAGAAAACTAGGTTTACTAAAAAGATTAACTCAGCCAGAGATGTTCCATTTCATTTCCTTCTAAAAGATTAAGAATTTTACAAGTGATGTCCCATCTCAATACCACGTTATTTTTCTTACTGATAAATTTTGTAACAGATAATATAAACTTATTTTACTAGTAAACCTAGTGTTGTAGCCACCAGCCCCCGATAGACACACGAACCACCAGAAATAAGTGAGTTATAGAAAACACACTCTTTATTCAGCAGCTGGGTCTGCCAGGGGTACGCAGACCCCAAGTTAAGCAGCCCCAAAATGTATAGGTACAGGGTTCTTAAGCCCTAAACCCTATTCCTCATTCTGTCTGAACACAAAAGTCTATTTTTCTTCTATTTACTAACTGTCAACCCACAGGTTGGTTGTGCAAGTGGGTGTACAGAAGCAGAAAGCTTATTGTTAGAATGTTATGTTCCTATAGGTGATAGCCTATGTTCCCCTGGGCGATAGCCTACGTTACCATGGGCGATAGCCAAGCAGTAATTTTCCAGCCAGCACACTAGGTAGAATAAAGTTGTTTATCTTCATTATATTCAGTTTTTTAACTCTTAAGACATGTTTAATTAAACAAACCTAAACTAGCTTTTATTTACTAAAGATTAATCTATGATTATGTGAACTTGAAAAAATACTTGGGTTGGTGTCTATCTATCTGACTTTTGGAATATCCAATCCTTACAAGTGCTTGCATTCAAACCAATGAATTTTTTAACTTATTAAATTAATTTTAACAATACCACTTGGTGGTAAAAATTATCTAACATTTACAACATACATATATAGACTCGCACAGACAGATACAAAGATCTTTTAGTCATGAGACAGGCACAATAATGCAAAACTCACTAGTTTATAAAAGAGGTTGGATCTAAATTTTGTTTTGGCAGTTGGAATAAGTTAACTTTATCTGTCGAGATGGCTAAAGCTTTTACTAAAATTCATGGAGAAGACCCTTAAGATTTATGTTTGTCCTAGACAAGTCAAGATGTAAATGGCCTTTCTCCACCCCTTTTTTTCTTTGAATAAGAATTACCTTTAATAAGAATTACCTACTGAAATTTGCATTTAAAAAAGATGGCCTAGATAAGAGTTCCTGGAAAAGACCAGGTATTGACATCTTAAAGGCACAGGGAAAGAAATGCAAGCTTCTCCTAGAAGGACTTTGGTTTCCTAAGGACAATATTTACAAGCCTTTTGAGAAGACTAGGAGAGGTTTTGGGATGGTAAAAATAACTGATGGGCTTTGAACTGTTTTTGGTCCTGTGAAAACTAGATTTGTAAAAAAGGGCACCTGTTTTTAATATCTTAAAGAACTGGGTTGCTAAGTGGCATCAAAAGACTTGAAGAGGAATTTTCCACTCAAATGGCTAACCTTGTAATCAGCTCTTTGTTCTGTTTCTGTAGACATGCTTGCTGCATAGGCGAAGGGCAGAGTGAAGATCAACTGAAGACCCTCCCCTTTGGTCATTCTGTCTAGATAACAGATGTATTGCCTAAATTCCTGTCTGAAAATCTCATGCTTTGTAACTGCCCGTAGCCCATAGCAACTCCTGCTCTCTATAACCACCTGAAGACAAATCAACCAACCAGCCCATGCCAACTGTAACAGTGCGCGGATATAAAAGCAAAATTGCCCCTTAGCTCGAGTCCCAGATCTTCAGAGTGCTAGCTCTTTCTGGGACCGCCGATGTAATAAACCTGAGTTATCCAACTCTCAGAGTGGTGCCTGGTTTCTCACCGATCTGGTTTCACAGCATTTCGGCCACAGACTGACAAATCCATTCACCTATTTTTGGAATGTTTCTTTCCTTCTGGATATATTTTGTCAGGCTCTGATATTAGCTTCCAGTTTGGCCAAATTTCTGATTAAAAAGTTATTAAATCTTTTCAGTTATCTTGTCAGATTTCAGCCAGACCAAACAGTAAATATTTCTGGCAGTATTAAATAATCGCATAGACCCAAGAGGGTGCAAAGATGACTACCTGTGAAAGATTTAAAAGTCACTTCCAAAGATAGCTAAAGAATGAACCAATAGCCTGCATGTCCCAGGCAAGCAGAAAGCCAGGAACGGGACAAGAAAGTAGTAGGTAATAGCTATGCTGGGAGAGAAAGAATCAGTACCCAATTGGTCTGGAGTTGGAAAGAAAGGGACAACATGAAATTTTATTTCCCCCTCTCACTGGCATCTGGAGGTAATCCATTTAGAAAAACTTGAGGATCCTCCCTGGGTTTAAGAAATGTTCTAAAATTGTGGCTTTTAGATCAGCCTTTGACCTAAGAGTGAAAGATACCTGAGAAGGATTGCCTATAGCCTCAGGTGGTTTTATTTTAAAAAGGTAATTGTTCAATAGTAGTGGAAAGGTAATTCAGACAGGATGACGAGAATGAGTACTCAAAGGCTAGAGGGGAGCTGTAGAAGTTATGTTAGTAGTCATGTCTATCCTATCATCTTTTATCTTAGGCATATATTATTTTTAATTTTTCATTACCCCTAAGCAATAAAGCTTTCAATGAAGCTACTTTGAAACACTGAAAACTTTTGCTTCTGCATGCCAATAAAGTAGATATCTCATTCTGTTTGCTAAGTTTGGGACCCCTTATTTTCAAGTACAATTTAAAAATTTTTTATCTAAATAGAGTGCTTCTCATGATGTGGCAGCCTGACCTTGCCTGATCATTTCCTGCTCGAATGAGTTAGTTCCTGACTACACCCCACATCCCAGGACTCTCCGGCTGACACAGCAGTCTGAAAACCCACTTAAATGATTAAGCCGGTTTCCTTATAGTTTGGCAGCCAATCAGTGTTCTCCTTATGTTCTTCTTTCTTATATAGAATATCTATAGCAGTGTAGGAATGCGAAAGTACAAGATGGTATAAAACTGCCCTTCTAATCTGAAACTCCGCACTCTTTGTGGAGATAAACTGGCCCTCTTTTGGCATTGGATGGCCAGCGGAGGGAGCTCTTGATAGGAAAGTCATTGCAAAGGTCTCTCAAGTCATTCCAGGTCAACCTGGCCACCTAGACCAATTCCCTTATATTGATTCTTGGGAGGCAATAGTTCACACCTGATCCCCATGGTTGAGAATCTGCCTAGAGGAGAACTGTAGAGTCCTCCTAGCATGAGCCTTGGCACCCTCCCAAGGTCAGTTGGGAAAAAAAAAAAGAAGCCTGTGTTACCAGCACTAGGCCAGACCAGTCTCCATTCTGCTAGGCTTCCAGGAGCCTATAGTCCAAATGATAGTCGGCGGGGCGGCGGGGCAACCTATTGACTTTGTGGTTGACACCAGAGCTGAATGCTCAGTTGTAACACGGCCCGTGGGCCCCCTTTCTCAAAAACAAGCTACCATTATAGGAGCAACCGGGGGACGAGTCCGTCATCCCTTCCTGCAGTCCCACCAGTGCAACCTAGGAGGATGAAAAGTCGTCCATAAATTTCTGTATCTGCCCGACTTCCCTGTGGCACTGATAGGACGAGATCTTTTAGGTAAACTACAGGCTTAAATTACCTTTGACACATGTGGCCAAACCCCTCTATGAAGCTACAAAGTGGAGAGAACGAGAGCCCCTACTCTGGGAATCTACACAACAGAAGGCCTTTGAAGAAATCAAACAGGCACTCACTAACGCCCCCAGACCAGGACTCCTAGACTTAACCAAACCTTTCTTTCTATACGTACACGAGCATACAGGTGTCACAGTAGGGGGTCTTAACTCAACTGCTAGGATCTTGGCACTGTCCCGTGGCTTATCTCTCCAAACAGCTTGACTCTGTCACCCAGGCTAGCCACCCTGCTTGTGAGCACTCATAGACACAGCCCTCCTTGTGTCAGAGGCCAAAAAACTGGCTACCCTTTAGGCCCGGCCAACCAGACCATGATTTCACTGAAGTCTTGATGAAGTGTTTTTTAGCTGATCTGACTTGACAGACCAGATCCCTAGTGCCTTTTCCCCTTGTAGCAGCTGCAGGCCCACACCTGTGCTGCTGTTGCCCATCTGCAGTTTCTGTTCCACCTGAAAAGCAGCTCCCTACCACAGGGAGCACGCACAATCCTCTCGGTGTACGTAACATGCTTTCAGATTCAGACGTAGCTAGGATTGTGTTCCCTGGTATCTTAGGCATTAAGGTTCAGTGTTTTTCCCTGGATGCTCAAGTTCAACTCATGGTAAGGGAAGGCAGGAATCTCAGCCCCACGGCTCAGCTGTCAGTGAAATATAGCAGCAGCAATGGGGACTTGTAGACCCTCCTCCTTCCAAACTAACGATGGGAGGGAGATCAAGAAGTTTGGCCTGTAAACAGTTCACTAAACTATAATAGTATCCTCCAATTAGATCTTTTTTGAAAGAAACAGGAAAATAGGAAGAAGTCTCCTATGTATAAGCTTCTATGCTCCTTTACCAAGACCCAGACTTATTAGAGGTCCCAATGATAGGAACGCCTTCTGGAGATCTCAAAATAATCAGGAATTTTCTCCTCCATCTTCACCCTCACACTTTGAGGGGGTCCGAGTTCTCTAGGGAGAACTCCCTGAGGAAACTAGATATGCACCCTCAGGGAAGTTACAAATACTCATATGGGAAAAGATGAGTATGTGCATAACCTCTGATCCGTATTTGTTGGTGTCATTATTGCAGGAAGTAACACCTGATGAAGGAGATTGGATGCTCAGACAACTTTGTTAGAGGAAGAAGAATTTATTGCCAGCAGAGCACGTGGGCTTAATAGCACCAAGCATGAGCTTCCCTAGGTTAGATTTCTTACAGCTCATATACATACCCATGCAGTATCCATGCAAGGGGTGCATGATTCCTTTGTCTGAGGTTCTACATGCACTTCATGACTCAGGATGGGGAGAGGGAGTTTCAGCTGGGGGCTGCAAGGGAGAAGGAATTCCCAGAACACTAGTCCTATCTATTTACAGATCATTTGTCTTGTAGGTGTGGCAAGAGTTTCTAGAAAGCCATTTAGAGATCTATAAAGTGTGGTTAATCTATAACCTGGCAGAGTCCATCATTTCTGCAAGCCCTTCTCTTTGCATTTTTCAGATGCCTCCTCTCCTCTCTTGTTATATGTAATATGGAGGTTGAGTTAAGAATTCTAATTATGATGGAAAGGAAAATGTATGTTTTTGGTAACAGAAAGCATAAAGTATGGAGATATATTTTGAAGGAAATTGAAGGAAAAGTATTTTTCTTAAAGTTGGTTATTTCTGAATAGTG